CGCGCGCGCCGCGGTCGTCTGCGGCTGCCTTGGCCCCCGCCCCCCCTCCGCCCTCTGCCCCCCTTGCCTCGCCCGAGGCCTGCGGCGCCGAGCGTGCCTCTCAGCGCGCGGAGGAAGGTCCTCCCCTGAGCGTCGCCGCTCGGCTTGCGCGCGCGGTGGGGCCTGGCCGGCCCGGGGCCCCCGCGCGCGCGTCGGCCGCGGCCCCCGCCCGGCGACCCGTCGCTTGCGCGGAGCCGGGAAACATTCCTCATCATCATCATCATCATCATCATCATTATCATCATCATGCCCATTATCAGCTGCATCCTCATCTTCACCGCCATCATCATCATATCCGTCATCATCATCACCGCCATCACCGCCACCGCCACCATCATCATCATCGTCGTCGCCATCGTCGTCATCATCTTCATCCTCGTCATCACCATCATCAGATCCATCGTCAGCTTCCTCGTTAAAATACAGGAAGCCACCCCTTCGACATCAACACCGGCATCTCAATTGCCATCACCACCATCGCCATCGTTATCACCATTAACAGCACCATCACCACCACCACGATCATCATCATCATCATCATCATCAGCATCGTCATCATTACCCGCATCGTCATATTCATTGCCGTTACCATCGCAAGCATCACCACCGCCATCATCACCATCACCGTGGTCAAGATCGTTGTTCTCATCTACAGCATCGCCACCGTTCCGGCGCATCCCTCACGCGTTTCGTGGCACATTGCGGCACACCCTCCACACGCTTTGTGGCCCCATTGGGCTCTCCACCGAAAATTTAATGCACCCACCCGCAGGCACCCCCGCCACCTATGTCGGCACACCCCTCACGCTTCGTGGCCCCATGGGGAACTCCACAGAAATTCCCCATGCCACCGCCCGCATGGGTCCCCGCAACCCATTTCGGCACGCCCATTTACACGCGAAGTGGCTTCACAGGGAACCCCACCGAGGTCCCAGTGCCTCTGCCCGCATGCGTCTCCGGTAATTATTTCGGGCGCACCCCGCAGGCGCTTCGTGGCCTCGTCGGGAGCTCCAGCGAAGGTCCCAACGGCGCAGCCCGCATGCGTCACCGCTACCAATGTCGACACACACCTAACACGTGTCGTGGCCCCTATCGGGAGGTCAATTGAAAGCCACAGTGTCGCAGACCGCATGCGTCCCCGCCACCAATTGCAGCACATCATCACACGTTTCGTGGCCCCATACGGAATTTCGCCGAAGGTCTCATTGGCGCAGCCCGCATGCGTCCCCGCCACGTATTTCGGCACACCCCTCTCACGTTTCGCTGCCCCGTAGTGATCTTGATCTTCACCGAAGGTCTCATTGGCGCATCCCGCATGCGTCACCGCCACCCATGTCGACACACCCCTAACACGTGACACTTGGGCACCCCAGGGGGGAACCACCAGGGGGTATGACACTCGCCCATTCGCGTCCACATTGCTGGGGTGCTTCAGGCGGTTTGCTTGTTTCTGCCCCTCTAGACCTTTCTCTTCTTATGGCCCACAGCCCACCGCGATATGGCCGTAACACTTGGGTACCCCAGCGGGGAGCCGCCAGGGTGAATTACATTCGCCCGTTCGCGCCCAAATTGCGGGGATGCCTCAGGCTGTTTGCTTGTTGTTCCCCCCCCCCCCAGACTTTTCTGTTTTGGCGTTTCACTGTTCGCCGCGATACAGCGGGTGTTGCAGTTGGGTGCGTCAGCGGGGAGCCGCCAAGGGGCCATTCCACTCGCCCGTTCGCCCCGCATTGTGGGGGTGTCTGAGGCGGTTTGCCTGTTTCTGCCCCTCGGACTTTTGCTTTTTGGTGGTCCACTGCCCACCAAGATGCACGCGTAACACTTGGGCACACCAAGGGGGAACCACCAGAAAGGTATGACACTCGCCCATTCGCGAGTCCCCCCTCTTTTGGTGTCTCACTGATCACCGACATACAGCAGACGTGGCACATGGGCTCCACAGATTCGGGAGTGGCCGATCAGCTATAAGCGGGCATATGCTGAACGGCTGGGTTCCGGGATTCGGGAGCGGCCTAACACCTACAGGCTGACCTGGGCTGAACGGCTAGGGTCCCAGATTTTGATCAACAGAGGAATGAGAGGTATGCCGAGGATGGATCCCTAGGCGAGAAATTAATGGCGACCGTCAACATCAGTGGAGCTACTTATCTCGGTTTCTTAATTGATATCTTGTGATGATGGTGGCCACAGGATTTGCTGAGTTCTGGCTGCTTCTAGCGGCGCCCAGTCTGCCCTGGCAGCCCTGCCCGACTCATAAAAGAAAAGATGATAAAGAAAAACATAGATGTGCGAGGAATGACAGACTGTGGGCATGGGCTGCACGCAAGACGTGAGACGGACAAGTCGGAAACCGACCACATCAGAAGTCGTAGCTCGGCGAGGGACAAAATATGGCAGGTAGCTGAAACGGCCGTGGGCATTGGGAGTGAGAAAGGATATGTGACCTCGTTGTGCCGAGATCCGTGGTGCGACACAGATTTTCAAATTCGTAGGTGTCGCTGGAGATGTAGCCAGAGGCGCGGTGGGCGGCGATCTCGCTACGCTTCTCTTCGCACTCCGTCTCCCGATCCCAGAAGGCGTCCTTGGACTAGCGCTCCGAACGACCGAGCGCTGCGACCTCCGAGAGGGCGTCCCTGAGCGCTTGGCCTCGGCCTCGGCTCGCTCGCGGCGGCGGCCTCGGCCTCGGCCCTCTGGCGTCTGGCGGCCTCGGCTTGGCTCGCGGCCTCGGCCTCGCGCTGGCGCTGGGCCCCACCCGGCGCGCGGCCTCGGCGAGGCTCTGGGCCTCCGCCTCCCGCAGGTCGGCCTCCGCCTGGCGTCGGCCCTCCGCCTCGGCCTGGCGCATGGCTTCGGCCTGGCGCCCGGCCTCTGCCTCGCGCTCGCCCAGCGAGGCTCTGGGCCTCCGCCTGGCGCTCTGCCGTCCGGCGTTGGGCCTCCGCCTCGCGGCGGGCCTCCAGCCAGCGCTGGCGGCCGCCGCCCGACGTTGAGCCTGGCGTTGGCCCTGCGAATTCTCGTTCAGAGTGCTGGTCATGTTGAGGAAGATACCCTTGATGTCATAGGTGGCTGCCGCATCGCTGTGCGCCTGGGCCTTGCTCGTTACCGGGCCGAGCGCGAAGTGGAATCGTCGGTGTCGGGGGGGCGATGCGGCAGTGCGGCAGGGGCACGAAAGGCGCCATCGAGGGCGCACGGGACTCCCCTGCGCGCCAAAGCCTTCTCTGGGGGGGGGGCCATGGGGGGGCCGCGCCCGACCACCGCCGCGAGTAGACGCACGCGCCGCAATCTCTCCGGCAGGATGCTGCCCTCCTTGAGCCAAAACCGCTACGGACCCTCGCTCACATCCTCCTTCTCTTCTTCCTCACCTAGACGCACTCATTCACATTTAGACTTCCTCATAAGTTGTTCCTCGTTCAGACTTCCTCATCACGTTCAGACTCACCCATAGCTCGCCCACCCGTCTGCATATTCGTATTCATCACTCTCACACACGACTCACACACAGAAAGACTCACTCGCATTCAGACACACTTTCTCTCAGACTCGCTCGCACTCAAACTCAGTCATACCCAGATTCGCTCGCACTCCGACTCATGCAGATTCGCACGAGGGTTCACACGCATGTTGATACCGCGGTGTAGCTGGCGTGGTATCTGGGCATCTCAAATGTCAGCAGGCGCCGCGAGTAACAAGCCAGAGAGAGGGCGTAGCAACGCCACATGCGATTGTCTGAGTTGCCGCAGTGAGAACAGCACGAGGGTTCCCCCCTCGCTATTCCACTTGTATCTACCTCGTCTCGCCTGGAAGATGCCCAGAGGAGGAGGACGTCACTCAAGTCGTCGCTGTCGTCGTCGCCGCACCTGTCGTCTACGCGGGCTCGTTCTCACACTCAGATACTCAACAGACAGAATTCCTCAGCGGACGCGACAGGAGTTACGCGATGCACATATGGGGATTCCCGCGTCGAGAAATTTCACGACGCCGTTTTTTGTTTAGACCGTCGACGTGCGGGTTTGATTATGTTTTCCACCCTTGCGCAGCGGGGCAAGGCGGCGGGAGTCCCGTCGGTGGTCGGGTTCAGGCTTGAGAGCTCGGAGACCAAACGGTGGAAGCTAATTTGGAGGAGGAGGAGGAGGAGCAGCAGCAGAAGACGTTTCGGAAACCGCACCCTCTTGCCCTTTGTGTAATGGCCTGTGACAGCTGGGGACCCTCCCAGATGTTGGCAGCGTGTCCCACCTGGAACGATGCTTGTCGAGCATCCCCCAGTAGGTTCCCTGACCTGGACAGTGGCGTCTGGCCTGCCATGCATCTACCTGGACGCCAGCAAGTTTATCAGACGTCTTGTGTTGTTCTGCAGTGTCCGCGCAGGAGTCAGCCAAAGCCTCGCAGGTGCGGCGCGAGTTTGGATCGGTCTAGGACCTTTGCAGCCGACGAGTCACGACTTTGGTTTGTCGTGTGCCAGTCTTTCGTGAGTGCACACACACCAAGGTTGCCATGAGCAGTTTTGCAGGATGGCTCGTCGCCGTGAGAATGCAAACGGAATCGTGCAAACAGTTTGTCATCGAAGCAGGCAGAGCACGTTGGGAAATACGACTGGCTGAGCCCTCTGCAAAATACGATGAAACACATTAGAATATAGCAACCGCCCATGGTCCGACCTGTCTTGATGTATTTAACCTAGCGCGTTACTGGAGATGTCGGCCATGTTGTTTTGTGTGAGTTCGGTTGTGTGGAGCCAATCCGATTGAGCTAGCGACGCACGCGTTTCAGCTGCCGCGCATCCCACTCGCAGATGCAATGCGACGATTGTCTCTCTGCAGCATCTCGAGATGTGGGGTTGATCAGCCATCGGCCTTAAGGGGTTTAATTTCTTGGCCGGCATGTTGCCTGTCCTCCCTCCCATCTCTGCTAGTTCTCATTTACGCTCCGCTCCTACCATTCAGACATCAATGTCGACGGGGGCGTGCCTTGAGGCTCCAACGATGGTTGTGCCGCCCTCGCGACGCTGTCCGAAGCCGACCGCACGCTCGCGACCAGGCAGGGTGGTCAAGTGTGTTTCATGATGATGGAAGAAGAAAAGGGGGGAGACCGGCACTTCCACATGCTAGCATCTCTATGGAAGATTGGGGTGTGGTTGAACTATCAGTTCAAAGTACTATCCTCGAGTTGGGAGCTCTGCAGATGCACCAGGCGCGCCTGATACTAAAACGCTCTGGCGAGAGTTCGAGTCGACGTGATCCCTGCCGATCTCCAACCACAAGATTACTCTGCCAGAGCTGTGTAAGTCTAGCTGCCTTCGGTCCACGGGGCGCTACTAGGGGGCTCTGGGGGGGCGGGCATGTTCCGGGTGTTCGGAGCAATCAGTGGGGGGCAAATTCTTCGCGCTTCGCGTACACCACATGACTTACACCGCTCAGCTCACACGCCACAGCTGCTCAGTAGTGGGACGGGAGTACCGGCTGTTCTCAACACTTTGGAGCCCGTGCTCGCTCGTGGGCGCTTCGCGAGCGCCCTCGTGCGCTGGGTCGGTTTCCCGAGGTTCTGCCGTGCTGGCGCCTGCCCGCTCGCGGGCGCCTCGTGGGCACCCAGTGCGCTGGGTGGATTTCCATCGGATTCGCCTCGTTGGCGCCGTGCCCGTTCGTGGGCACTTCGTGGCCGCCCAGTGCGATGGTCTTTGTTCATGGGTTTAGCCGCTTTGGCGCCCGTGTCAGCTCGTTGGCGCCACGTGGGTGCCCCGTGCGGTTGCACATATCTCAGACACCATAGCCTACATCTATACAACATTGCTTGCACCACATAGCTTGCACCGCACAGCTCACACCACAGCGTGCACCGCACAGCTCACACCATACGTCGCCGCGCCGTTTGCTCCGACGCATGGCCTACCGTCTGGGAGGGCACCGCGGCCACCAAGGCAAACGCCGCCTCGGGCACGGCGGGCTCGCCGTGGGGTTTGCCGCAAGAGAGCCCCAAGAGGGCCCCAAGAGGCTCCCAAGAGGGACCGAAGAGACGGGTTAGGGACTGGGCTGCTTGGGTGTTGGGACTGGGCTGGCCCCAAGACGGCCCAAGAGTCCCGAAACGGCCCCAAAGGGCCCCCAAAAGACTCCCATCACAAGAAGCCCCAGAGACGCCAAGTTTTACCATTGTGTCCAGCAGCGAGCGGTGACGTAAAAAGCACTCCAAGGCTCCCCAGAGCGCGGTGACGTGAAAAGCTCTTAACAGCAAGGCGCCCAAGAGCGAGCGGCAGCGTAAAAGTCTGTGAACACCAGGGCTCCCAAAAGAGAGCGGTGACACAACAAGCTCTTAAGGCCAAGTCTCCCAAGATCGAGGGGTGCCATGAGCCATCTCGGGCAAGTTCCTGCAGCGTTTTTTCCGTTCCCGTGCCGGCCCAGGTGATGAAAAGCGCGAGGTCCGAGTCATGTACGTTGAGTTGGGGCGAAGCCCTCTAGGGCGGGGTCCAGGGAGCATGGGAGCATGGCCGAGGACGTGCAGCCAGCAAGCCACGAGCACGCGTGCAACGAGGACATGGACGGCCGCGTGCGCAATCACTACCAACAGTGGGACCGCGGGCGCAGCTAGAGCGCTCGGAGTTGGTCTGTCCCCGCACAGAGCGGACACCTCAGGCCGGGCACAAATCATTTGCACGGCCCAGCCTAAAACATTACACGAGAGCTTCATGTTGCTGATGGTGGCTTCCAAGGAGGCTACCGCAACTGCCACCTCGAACTCCTGGGCTCCCAGCTGGACATAGGAGCCGACCCAAGTTTTACCCAGGAATCTCCAAATCTCGGAATGCGGAGCCCGGTTATCGATCAGCTGGTCCAGAGTACGGTGGGCAGGGGTCCACTCGAAGCCCGGTCGCTCCTGCTCCCCCAGCCCCAAATTCAAAAACTTCTGCCAAATGGAAGCATGGTGCGACAACCCTTACCCCAGGGAAGGGTTCCACGAAGTACCTTCCCCGACAAAGGACAAGTGGTCGCTGATAATGTGGACGGGAGCCGGCCCTAAACACACAGCTTCGAGGCCAGCCCACTTCTCTCCGCGCGGGGCGGTCTGAAACCGACCTGGCAAGGCCCCAAATCTGGCCCTCAGAGGCCATCCTTCCCCGACAAGTCAATAACATTCCAACCACACCCGGTGGCCTCTGGGACACTGCTGAATTGGCCCGCGGCGTCGGTGAAGAGCACGCGCCCCCACTCTCCGCCAGACTTTCCCCACGTGCGGATAGGAGGAGAGGGAGGGGAGAGAAGGATGTCAATAGGGATAGACGGCAGGCCGTAGATAGCCCAAAACTCGTCCCAATCCTCCGACTCGATTCTCACGGCCATGCGGTGTTTTCAAACATCTTCTGGGAAGCCCGCACTGGGGTCCAAATCGTCGCCATATTCGAATGCAGCTGAACAATCATACAGCTGATGCCCCATCGTGCCACGCTCACACGGACAGAAGGAGCCAGACCAGCGTTAAATTTACGCGACGGCGGCCAGAGAGCTCCAGACCATAGTGCGCGATCCTTGCCTAGCCCCTGTCGGCTGAGCAAGCAGCCCACTTCGTGCGGCCCTGCCCCAAACTACCTCGGAACCCGTGGCCTCAGGGAGATGGCAAAGTAGACGGCGCCACTGCTATCGCGCAATGCCCTCCCTGAGTAGTTCACGAACCTCGCAGGGTGACGTCTGAGAGAAAGAGATAGCTTCGCCAGTGTCCGACAGCAATACGTGGGACAACGTCATGTCCCAACCGACACGGCGAAGAGACGGTATGACGGCCGAAACGGGCCCGAAACAAATCTTCCAACTCACCGTGTTTGTCTATTGTTTCTTGAATAGCGGAACAAGCTTTAAACAGAAGACTGGACTGTGTGAGGCCATCCCAGACGCACGCACAATATCGCCCTACAAGCGGACATGTGGCATCGAACATCGGATCGTAAAATTAATCCTTCTGGGTGGCTCCAAAGAGGGCCCCAAGAGGCTCCGAAGAGGCGGTGTGGGGACTGGACTGCTTGGGTGTGGGGACTGGGCTTGCCCCAAGACGGCCTAAGAGGGCCCGAAGACGGCCCCAAGAAAGCCCCCAAACGGCCCCAGGAGGCTCCCAAGAGGGCCCGAAGAGGCGGTATGGGGACTGGGCTGCTTGTGTGTGGGGACTGGGCTGGCCCCAAGACGGCCCAAGAGTCCCCAAACGGCCCCAAAGGGCCCCCAACAAACTCCCGAGAAGCCCCAGAGACGCCAAGTAACACCGTTGCTCCCAACAGCGAGCGGTGGCGTAACAAGCTCTGAACACCAAGTCTCCCCAGAGCGCGGTCGCGTAACATGTTCTGAAGAGCAAGGCGCCCATGTGCGAGCGGCAACGTAAAAGTCTGTGAACACCAGGGCTCCCAACAGAGAGCGATGACGCAACAAGCTCTTAACGCCCAGGCTCCCAAGAGCGAAGGGTGCCATGAGCCATCTCGGGCAAGTTCCTGCAGCGTTTTTTCCGTTCCCGTGCTGGCCCAGCTGACGAAAAGAGTGAGGTCCGAATCATGTACGTTGAGTTGGGGCGAAGCCCTCTAGGGCGGGGTCCAGGGGAGGGGCTAGGAGGGGAGCATGGGTGTAATGGCCGCCCAGGGGCCGCTTCCTTTGTTATCCCAACCCTCCTTGGTTGGGTTTTCGTTTTGAAGAGATGGGTGTGGTCGCGTCCTTCTCACGCCCCCCCCTGTGGTCGCCGTCCCTGGGTGGCTGCGACTTGCGGGGGCTGCGATCTGCGAAATTGTCGCCACGTTCAAGGGCTGCTGGGCAGACCGGGCCCGGGCCTCAGACCGCGAGTCCCGGGGTCCGCGTCGAAGCGTCGAGTCCCGAGTCCCGGGTCCTGGCTGCGCCTTGCAGGTCTCGGTTCCCGGATCCTGCGTCCCGAATCCCGCGCGCACGTCCGGGTCCGAAGTCCGGCGCACGGGCCCTGGCCCGAGCCTTCGCCTCAGACCGAACCCAGGCCGGGGCTCAGACGGCTCGGGTCTCAGACCGGGTCCGGGCGCGGGTTTAAATTCGGACCGGGCTCTAGGTCCAGGGCCCGGGCCGAGGCTCGGGCTCGGGCCTCAGATCGGGCCCGCGCTGGGCTAGGGCCCGGACCAGGCCCGGGCCTCAGACCGGGCCCGGGCCCGGGCCTCAGATTGGGCCCGGGCCTTAGACCGGGCCGGGGCTCGGACTTAGAGGCACGTCTCAAACTATTTGAATTATCCAATAACTAGTTGCGATCGGTATGCTAAGAAACTATGTTGATACTACTCCTTTGTTGTTGTTTTAATTATACGCTTTGAAAACACAAATATTGAACCATTTGTTTGAATCAGCCATCACATAACATCTAAGCAACATAAAATAACATAAACAACAATAAAATACAAACAAAAAACAACACCACGCAAACAAAGCAAACAACATAAACAATCAATCACAACGAATGGAACACAAGCAGGAAGAGGGAACATGATAAGGAGGAGGGAAGAGGATGAGGAGGGATAGTGAAGGAGGGAAGAGGATGAGGAGGGAAGAGGATAATGAGGAGGGAGAGGGAGGGAAGAGGATAAGGAGGAGGGAGGAGGTTTTGGATACATGAAAACAAACAAACAAACAAACGTAATGAAAGGGAGGAGGGAAGATGAGTTATATGATGAGAAGTTGCGATGTTGATGATGATGGAGTGCTTGTAGTGATGATGATGATGGTGACGATGACGATGATCATAGTTATGGTGGCAATGTTCATTGCCATCATGATGATGATTTTGATGATGAGGGTTATGCTCATAGGGAGGGGCAAGAGGCGAAACAGGAGGAGGTGGATAATTGCGGAAGGGGGGCTGGAAGGTTGCGAGCTATGCTGGCAACTCTGCAATCGTCCTGGAAGGTTGCGAGCTATGCTCGCAAGTCTGCCGTCGTTTTACTACTACATGCTGCGTCTGTATCATCTGCCTCTGCTCATTATTCTCCGCAGCATATCCCTCCTCAGCATGATCGCCACCCCTATCAGCATCGCCCCATCAACGCCCCCGTCACCAACATCAAC